AAAAAAAAAAAAAAGAAACATGACAAACGACGATTTCAGTCACGCGAACAAGAAACTCGTTTAAAATCAATCGAAATTTAACTTTAAATGGGAAAATCAGATTGCTTTTTCTGAAGTTCGGAAAGCTTATCTTACCTTTCGGAGCCGTTTGAAGGAGAGATGTTTGCTGCAGCCTGGTGAATTCGAGCATGAAGCTGTCCCTGATTTGTTGTTGTTAGTAGTCGCTTTAATTCTTCATGCTCTAACTCCAGTAACATACCGGTAATGTTTTCACTACTTTCTGGATAGATTAGATGCACTATCTCGAATAATGTGTCTCCAAAATCGGCTTCATTCTTGTCGCGTTCGCTCACTGAATTTCCCATCTTCTTGTCTTTTTTGCACTGAATCATGTTTCACAAAGCAATCCCTCTTGGGTGGGGTGAGTATTGTGCTTTCGTATCTTTTAGTAAACGTTTATAGCATTCTTCCGTCAAAACACTTTTTGACCTGTTGTAATTCGGAATAATTACGTTTTTCTCTTAAAATTATTTCTTTTCATGAGAGAAATAGTAACAGTATTGATTTTCTTTTTGTTCTAAATTATTTTTCCCTCCCCTACTTAGCTGCAGTTTTTGTTCGGGCCCAGGTTTCCTTCATTAGTTAGATCGACGGTTTCAAATATGGCGCGGGAAGCCTTCGAGGTTAGTTACACATTTTTTCAACTCTTTTTCTGTTTCCTTCACGACAACACAACTTTATTAGCACATTTTTAAACAACTAGTCACCTCTAATTCAAAGCTTTCAATCATTTGTAATTTCAGGAGCGATATTTGGGAGAGATGCCGTCATGTTTGCGTGAGCTGTTTGAGCAAACAAGCTCAGAGAAGCAAAGCTACATTGCAAACAACGCTCATTCTTCGACGAAATCCTTTAAATCGATATTAACATTCAGTGGCATGGAGCTTCCACCACCTCTGGTAAGATTTACCTTGCTTAAAATGCATTACAACATGTTGACGCTTGGTGAAAGTAAGCTTAAAAACTCAACTAATAATTCTGTTGACATATTAAGTTTTTTGCGTCATTGCCAATTTGGGCATGTAAACAAAGATGTCCTTGCTGTCTTTCGTAGGCTTTGTACTTTTTTGCATTGATTATTGATATTATCTTACGCCTGGAGTCGTGATGGATGGAAGACATTTTGTATTTTCTTTTCAGTTCTTAAATTTCACTTTAGATTTTGCTGATAAGTTATAAGCTTGTTATTATGAGCTTATTATTCTTTTCAAGGTCCATTGTACACGAACATCAGCTTAAATACATCTAATTTATTCAAAACCTGTTGTCACCTTGTTCATGACAATCGTGATCATGCTGGTACATATAACTGCCTTTAACATGAGCGTGAGTTGTAGAACGTAAGCTTAATATACGCTCCACTCCTACCTACTAGATAGTTGGGAAATCGTTTCTTCTGAATCAGTAGATTTGCTTTATTGTAATTACATTCAATATTCAATACATTAGCCTTTTCTGAGGTGTATGCTGGTGCTTTGTTTCTAGAATAATGGATTTTCTTTTCATTTGTTAGTTATGATTATTGTTCATTGGTCCCAAGGGTAAATATTAGGAGCCATGCATCCTGTACATTTTGTTGTTGTTCAGTTGCTATGAGTAGAAAGGCTGTACTTTCAAATTGTTAAATTATAATATTCCAAAGTTTGATCAGCCCTAATCTTCTCTCACTTTATCAATGCCAGTTAAATCAAATGGAAATCTTTGGCTCTTTGGAAAGTAAATTAAAACAGGCTAACCGGAGCATTATTTTTAAGGCTAACCTGAGGGATATTCAGGCTAACCGGAGTGATATTTCAGCCAACCGGAGAGCAGACTTTCACTGTGATTAACCTGAATAACCCTGTTTAGGGTTAGCACTTGATAATGGAAATAACATGACATATACTTAAAAAGTCTGTTGTCTGCATTTTACCCTCAGCCTGCAGTCCTGCACTCTACAGTCAACCAAAACGTCTTGGAGCAACAAGTCAACGCTGATATTTTATTTTTTGGCCACTTGAGATTAATACATATTTCTGCGTAATGTGTAGCTCCAGAAAATATCCATACCCCCCACGGAAGGTCACCGAAATTCCGAGGGGTAGGGGGGTCTGAAATAGGTAAATTTCCGAAGGGAAGGGGGCTACTCAAGGAGTTTTCTTTCCAGTGGGTCTGAAATGCAATTGAATGAACACTACGTAACCGTACTTTCCCAATTGATTCAGGTAACCAAACAAACAGAAATGTTCCATCCGTTGAGAAATAAATGTTAGATTCTTTGTCATATATTTTCCACTTTCTTCCAACGTTGTACGACTGACAGCAATCCTGAGTATCCTGTTTGTTGAATGTCAAGTTGAACAAAATGCTGATGAAGAGATGCAGCAATACATGAACAATGAAGTTGATATTTTATACTTTGAAGATCGTGCTGTATTAAGCTTAGATGTAGCTCAGATGCTTTTTCCAGCATTAATCATGCCATCAATTAAATGCAATTTGTACTTTGTTTATTTCATTTGATACTCATACAAAATTATACCCTGTTTCAGACTTGCTGTAACTAGGTTATCACATATTTTTCATCATTATCTGTGTGGTTAATAGTTTGCTTTAAGTGAGCAAAGTCGATTCAAAGCCATTTGTCTTGAGCTATATGTAAACGTGGACAGCGAGGAGCATTGTAATTGGAGCGGTAGCCGAGATTTCATTCGGTCATTTATAGACCGATTGAACAATGTGTGTTTCACGTATGAAATGTATGACAATTCAAAAAAAACTAAGGCATAAAATGAATTTGCTATCATTTACAAACTACAGAAACAAAGCGTATGACTTAATTGATGTATTCCTTTAGTGAAAGAAAAAATAAAGCGACATTAATTTTGGGAAACAGCTGTTTTGAAAAAATGTTGCGTGATGACTTTACTGTGTATGTAAAGTAATTTGATATGTTGTTTTGACCATGCATAAATTAAAACTTCGACTGGGTTATTTGAAAGAGCTTTATGTACGTTCCGAGATTCTTACATGAAAACTGCTATGCTATGCCATTTGGGAGTGATGTGCTTCTAAGTCAGTTGTTTATTAGTTTAAACACCGTTTCCAATATTTTAACATGACATGAAGGAACATGCCGTGTCTGCAGTCTACCGTGAAATAGTAGGTCTTTGTCTCCAATGTAACTATAAACAGCTGCGGCTAATTTTTATTACAATTAATGAGTTAAGTCTTGTTTTTTATGGATACGGAATTTCCGAGGGGTAGGGGGGACCCAAGTAGAAAAATCATGTAAATTCCAGGGGGTGGGGGGAGTACTGTGAAGCCTCCTTGAACTAAAAATCCTGGGGGGTGGGGGGTCAAACTGGAAAAAACCTTCCATGGGGGGATATGGATATTTTCTGGGACCACACAATTTAACTAATACTTGAAATCAAAAGTTTTGAAAGACTTATGAATACATAGATTGAAAGTGTCAGTTTTCTGACATGAAGGAACCACCGTATATATGAACATGTGAAGTTTTGACTAACTTAATCCTCTAGGTTTTGAGTGGAACATAGGGCATTGAACTACTGTAATGAAAAGCTTTAGTTGAATGTTAATAGTTGTGAAGGTGATGGTCATTTCCCTGGTCAGATATAGTCACTCTGAAAAAAAAAACCTTCCAGAATGGTCAAGACTGCTATCTCTAATATTATTTACATCAAGTTATTAAATGACTGTAATGTTGATCTCTGTAACCTGTTACTGTATTGTGTATTCTACTTGTAGCTTACGGAAAATGAAGGTGATGGTCATTTCCCTGGTCAGATATAGTCACTCTGAAAAAAAAAAACCTTCCAGAATGGTCAAGACTGCTATCTCTAATATTATTTACATCAAGTTGTTAAATGACTGTAATGTTGATCTCTGTAACCTGTTACTGTATTGTGTATTCTACTTGTAGCTTACGGAAAATGAAAGGGCTGAGATGCGTCAATACAGAAGAGAAGCAGTTAAATGTGAAGCCAAAAAGTTTGAAAGAAGACGAGAAAAGTACTCAAACCTACTCTTACAGGTCATGTCAGTCATGGACAGAGTGCAGGTAAGGAGACTATATGTACAACTGTAACTCTTTGTGAAATCTCTTTAGAATCTAGTGGCTCAACATACCTTTGCTTACACTTGAAGCTTTAGCTGTACCATGAAGTTGTTAAGAGTATTGGAATTCCCCCTGCATAGTATGCAAGTAAATTATTAATTAATTAATTAATTAATTAAAAGTTCATCCTCGTCAGTTTGAATTCATCAGACATAATTCTCAAAATAAACTGGCCCTTCTCTAAGTGTCTTGAGTGTTATTTCTATGTCAGTTCCGTCAAATGAAAGATGTCTGTTTGGTATTTTAAAACATTCAGACATGTATGTCAAAAAAGAGAAGTGCTCTGTAATAATCACTGTGTCTTGATCTCACAAATTAAAATAAGTGTCCTGGTTGCTCGGTCAAACAGGGATTGGGAAGGCCGTGCGCCATGCGCATGTGGCGCATTTTGAAAGTACTTATTGCACCTGCGATGCGCCCTAGCTACAAAACAGCTAGTAAAATATACACTATTTTGTGAAAAGGACTTTTGTTTGTGAAATTTTTGGTGTAATGACGAATAAACATGCAAGAAATCACGATGCCTTTGCTCTTTAATCGGCTCATTTGCCTGTTTTGCCTTCCCAATCCCTGTCAAATCAATATGGTTTATTGTATAATTTGGTGTAACGGGAAAAGGGTTATTACTTGATTGTTACTGTGTGAAAAATTATTTTGTTAATTTGTGCATGATTTTTGCTATTTTGTTTGGCAGGAACAAAGAGAAGCAAGAACTATTACTGAAATGCGGTATGATACTGAAGGTGTTAGAGAGAGAAGATTTGCCAAAGAAAATTATGAATCAACTGCAAGAACATTGGCACACAGACATAATGAGGAACCTACATCATATGAACCTGACCATGACAGAAGATATGCTTGGAATGCTTCTAATGATGAGAGAAATGCAAAACAGGACCAGTTTGCAGAATCCTATGTAGATTGGACTGAAAATAATTATAATGAGCACTCTAGCAGAATCAACAGTCAATTAAACTATTTACCACACTCATTGGAATCATCCTTTGCCACGGCTGGTGACCAAAGTGGAATGTGTGAAAGCCAGTTACCAAGAAATGGGGATTCTAGGAAACAAGTCAGAATTGCACCTGAGGGTTTTGAGGGTGCAAATTTTCCTTATAGCTCCACTATGGATAAGGAAGCCACTGAGTTAAACAGGCCATTTTCACATGTTTCTCTTGCTTCTAATGGAACATTGGATTCTGGAGATGTCTCAGATACTACACTCCAGAATTCTTCAGTGTCATTTCCTTTTGACAGGGAAGTTCTGGGGTCTGATTCACTGGCATCTTCTTCATTGTCTGGGGCCTTTTCAGGTAAGTTATTTCATTTCTGCGTGTCTTCAAGCCTTTACTGCCAAGTGGCTATTGATTAAATATTGTCCAGGGTCCTTGAAGATCCTAAGGATCTTATAAAGGATCTTAAATGTTAAATATTTGGAGACTTTCTTCATTGTATTATCAGTAGTTGTGCAGTAACCCTTCCTGTGTAGCAGATGCTTAGACCACATTGACAGATTTCCCTTTGTCCCCCAGCATGGTGTTGTTGGGTTTGCAAAGAATTTGCCTCCAAGTAAAGTAACATTTTTAAGATGAAATGCTTGAGTACTCAGTTGTCTTGTCCAAGAACACGGCTAAAGGAGAGTAAAATTATTGTTACTTAGTCTAATAAACCATGCATCATAAACAAGCAAATTGTTAGGTTAATGAGAACTCATAATTTGAACATTGTGTTATTTCCTGCAGACTCTACTACCTCAACTGTGCAATCTGCAATAGAAACACAGCCTGGATCAACAGCGCCGCAACTGCATATAGATTCAGCTACTAATAACGCCCATTTCAGACATTGTATAGAGAAACACGCATTGCAGTCTATGGATCAACCCCCAAATTCCAGGACTGATAAAAGACCTGTTTCCTCAAAGCAAAGACCTGAAAAGCCAAAAGTTCAGTTTTCTACACTGTCAAAGGTTGCCTGCATCTCAGAGCAAGATAAAACTCTGGCAAATTTGGAAAAGCTGAGACAAAAATTGCTTGAAGAGAAGCAAAAGCACTTAGAAGCTCTTAAACATCAAGAGTTGAAGCGGCTTCGCAACCAAAAGACAGAACAAGCAGGGGATTTACACCACACTTATGCATCTTTCCACAGAGACACTGCTAAACAAGTAACTGAGAGACCTCGGTCTAGTTCTCTGCCCTCATCAATGCAGTCAGACTTCAAACAGTTGTCTTCTGAGGAATCACAGAGTAACCCTGTGTCTCACAGGTCATCTGGTGATAATCATGTATCAAGGATGCCACCCCTTCGTAGACCTCTTTCACTGCCTCCAGGTGAAATGTACTCTATTCTTGAACTCAGTGGAGAAAATCTTGACAGTGAACCAGAATCTTCCTCTGATAAGGAGAACCATGTTGTTGACGAGGTTTTGAGAGGGAACAGAAATGATGCTGTTCTGGGAAGTGCTCGCAGTAATGCTATAGGCCGAATAAACAGTGAGCAGAGCATGTATCCCTCTCTTCAATCAAGGGAATCCAAACACTTTGTACCAGGAGAGGGTAATAAGGTAAAATTTCAATATTTTTGCTTTAGGTTACATCTTAACTTTTAAACTCCTAAGGTTAACATTCAAATCATCCTGAATATTTTCATACACTTTCTTTAATTCTCCTTTGGTAGAATTTGGTTTTAAGTCAGGATTCTTTAGCGAGATGACAGGAACCTTCCTTCTTATAACTTTATACTTGACTATGTATAATTTTTTTAATTAAATCATTAAGATATTTTACGTTTGAGGTTTTTATGAGGTTCAATTATAAATAATTATTCCAGAGCTTGTATTGTAGACTGTTTCATTTGCTGGCAATGTTAGAAACATGTTCACCAGTGCCGAGGTAACTTTAAACACTCACAGACAGACTACAGAACAATGAAATCTCTTCCCCTTCTACAGATAAGTATCCTACCAAGGTTTTGAGTAGCTGCTTTCATTAATGAAAGTGTAATTTTCCTTCCTGCAAGTATCTGTAAATGTTTTTGACCAGCTAAATGTGTTAAGTAGTTCTGTTGTTATGTTTGTTTTCTTGTATTTTGTAGCTCTTTGTAAGTAATGGACGGGATAAATTTGCCAAAGTTTCTGCGCATGCTAAGGGATTCCTGACGAGATGTTTGATGAAAACTGACAAGGTTCTAGGTTTGGTGAAAACAATCAAGGTAAGATGATGATGATGATGATGATGATGATGATTTGATGATCGATGATAATAATGAGAAACAATTTGTGCAAAATTTAAATATTGACTTACTTAGTAGACCTTCCCTTGAACATTTCTCATAGGTTATTGCATGTACCAATACACTCCTTTGTGGCTAGACTAATAATTATTAAAATATTATCATGGCCCTTAAAATGTCATGTTGATATTCTTCATTATTATACATTGAACTCACTATCTCTTTTCTGATTGGCCGAAAGCGTACAGTGAATTTTCGAAATCAGCTCCTGTGATGTCATAACTGCAGATTATACAATAATCATGTCAGGGACACTCAAGGTCATGGGTACATGATTTCTAAGGGTAATCATGTCAAGTTTGCACGCTTTGTGTTGCTTGCCATCAGTGAAGAAGCAAAAACATGACTTTCATTTTTTTCGTTCAATGTATAATAAAACAATTTATTAGATTCGGTTTTTGTGATATCCTTGATTATTCTGGATATCACAAAAACCTCATCCAACAATAAAATGTATTGTTTATAAATTGAACATATTGCCAATTGATGAGCAAGGGAAAGCAGTAGCAAAAGCATGCCGCAGACACAATCAAAGCTTGAAGTAAACTGCTTTCCTTCACACAGATGGACTGCTTTAACATATAAGCCCTGCAAATTCCTGTATGAGATTACAAAGAACTTGACAACCTCAAAATGTCGCTGACCTGCATTAGCTCAAGTCTAACTTAGCCTAAAATCAGATACATACATTGACACTCCTGGACCAGTGACTTATAAAGCATTTTTAATTTTACGGCAATCATATCCTTCTTTAACATTACTTCTTGTCCTCCTGCTCAAATGTAAAACCTTTGTTTGTTTGTTGACAGGACACCAGAGATGTTCTGGCAGATATTTCCAGAGAGGACATACAGTCTGTTCAGGAGAAAATGCTGAAAGAAAACGTTGAGGGTCATGTATGTACTCATCAGTGATACTGCAAATTTTGCATACTCAAGCATTGATACCATTAATGAGCAAATACCCTTTGTCAGTTATTGTAACTTACATGCATCAGAAATTTGTCAGATAAATTTTTAAATACAATTAAATGTGTCTTTTTAGCTGAGAGTAGCAAGAATTGGTCTTCATGATGTCTTCTTCAAGGTGCCTGTGAAAGAAAGAATGTCTTACATAGCTAATTCCAGAGCAATAGCAAGAGCGAAAGAAGCTAAGCGAAGAGCCGCAAGGGTCAGTGAATGCTGCTAACTAACTGATTAAATTATACAGTATTATAAAATTATTGTTTGCTCTTTCATTGATTTAGGGAAGCTTGGATTACTCATGGAAAGAAGAAACAAATCTAGACCTTAAAATATTGGCAATGCATTGGTCCATGGCCAGTGGGAATAGTTAATAAATATTATAAAATAGCACTGGACTCTATATCAAGCAACCCTTTTTTGAGCACTAACCACACGCTGGGCTACCTGTGAGACAAATTATTTGAATTGGGAGGTGGGTGGGAGGAGATACACTAATGGCATCCTTCGCTGCTTCATGCTGCAGAAGCTAGAGCAAAGCATTGACTTTTTGAGCTACATGTATATTTTGGGTTTGAATAGGCTTTAATACCTTTATTTTTCTAAGCTATGAACAGATCTGTTTCTCATGTTTTCCAACTAATTTGATTTGAATTCCTTATTTTTCGATCATTGGTCAAGTAAATAGTTATAAAATTAGTGTAACATGGTAAAAAAAAAAAAAAAACAATGAGAGAGGTACATTAACTTTCTTAAGGGTCTGGAAAATTAATCTTGACTCAATACATATTGCAGTAAGTATACTTTTTCTACCTACATTTAATTGTAGATTTAGATTGAAGAATTACTCAGTAATGACATTACTCTATTTGTTTCCTCATCATCAGAGTTCTGTAGGTCAGTCAAAACTATCTGCTGTTACTTTACGAGCAATTCAGAGACGACAGGAAGACCAGTATCCTTGAGAACTTTATTTACTATCTGACTTTCACAATAATTGAATTAGATTTTCATTTATTTGATAAAGTAAGAAACTAGTAAAATGATTTGCTTACAAACATCAGCTTATCCAATAAGGTGTAAATGTAACTAAACTTCTGCTTAAAAGTCAGTGAAAAATCTGGAAGTTCTTTTTTAGTTGGCTCTAGATTTTGTTCAGTAACATTGTCTTTTTTATAAGCCTCCTGTTCCAACAAAATGGCTGTCTAGATACTTTTCTAAACTTTTTGAAAACTTTAAATATCATTGATCAAGTGGGTTTTGATCCTTGATTTCTGTATTCAAAGTACTGTAACACAAACTGCCAGTTCAGAGATAATAAAGCCTAAAGCTGAACCTCGGGAACAGAAGAAGAAAACTTGGAACATCAGGTCTGTTGGTGCACAGTGAAGTCTGTATTACGTGGACACCCTTGAGACCCCCAGTACTGTCTGCTTAATTAAACAATACAGGTTTATTTTACAGAAAATATATTTGGAAAAAGAGTGACTGCATAAGATGAATTCCTCGTAATACAGGTTTCACTGTATTTAATGTGAAAAAACTCATTTGTATAGTCTGTTGGTAAACAATTACTGTACTATAAACACTGGCAGTTAGGTTTCCACCTATATCATGTAGCGGCAATAATTTTTCCAAATTGGGCAGGTATATACATTATGTATTAGAATCTATGCAGGGCTTGAAGAAAGTGCTGTCGGGTCATCCGGGCAAGTAGATTCTCCTTCGAGCAAGCACCTTTTCATCCTCACCTACCCGATGGGCAAGAGATCAGGCACGTCGTCTACCAACTAAATCATTAAAAGAGCAAACTAAGACTTGCCCAGAGCAAGCCATATTTGAGAGATAATTATTGTCCTAAGGGCAAGCTGGAATTTGAGTTTTTTTTTTTTTCCTGATTATTACGATTATTAGTAAGAACTCTTTTGTTCTCAAAGGTCTCAGTTGTCCCTCTGAAATTTAAAATTGATCTTGGGGAATTAAAACTTGCTGTTTTGCTCGGGACTAGCACCACAACAGCTGTAACAAATAAGTCTGGTTTGCAAGTTTCATTTGACATTATTCTGGTTTTCCTGGGAACAGCTATGCAAAACCATGATTGGTTACGGTCATAAGCTAATATCACTAAATAGTGACATTTTTGTGTAAAACTAATAATTAGTTTACAAATGTAACAACGACTCTTTTTAGTATGAAATCAGTGATTGATTGTATTGACTGGTCAGAATGAATGAACATTTCTACCATGCATATACTGGTTGTATAATGCACATAATTTATGAAATAATGTGACTTCAATTTTTGTTGCATATCATTCAGAATGAAGTAATGTTATGGTATGAGAATGCACAATTTGGTAAAGGACTCACACATGGTTTACTTTCTCTAACTTCAGGGTGCTAAAGCCACAGCAGGGACATACATCACCACCTCTGCCATCTGACAGGACAAGGTGCAGTTTTTTAATTTAGATATCGGTTAAGCAGAGCTCGCAGCAAGCATTATTGCAGCCATGTCTTTATTACTGCATTAATCTTTCTGCCCTGTTCAACCAAACTCATTGGTCACGAACAGCCCCAGTTTAGGAAGTGATGGATGTCCTGCCTACTACTAAGGTTAGCTGTTTAATAAATGAGCTCATAGCTCCCTTTAGTCTCCTGTAACTCATCATTAATTAGTACATCACTGAACATATTGTTTCTTGTTTGCTTTGTTTTCTGATAGGTCTAAGCAAAGCACCAGACCAGCTACAGCTCCTGAGAAACCACTGTGAGATACTGATTATCTGCACCTTTATTTTAAACTGTAATTTAACATCAATCCAGACCTGTTCAACCTTAATTTCCTAAGAGTGACCAACATCTGATGTCTCCTTATGATATAACTGAACTGTCAAGTTGACAGCTGACAGAGGTTAAGATAATGTTGCTTAGTATTATAGGTAGACAATGCGTACAGAGGGCTAGCTAATGGCTGTACCTCTTTGCAGGTATTACGGGCCTTTGGTACTAGGCAATGATAGTCTTGATATCCCTCCAAATTCTCAGACGTACTGAAACTTAAATATTAAAATATTACTGCAATGTCAAGCAGTCAGGTGACAACTTTCATGTAAATGCACTGGCAAGTAGACCTGCTGGTGACAGAAAAAATGTTACCTAGTTTTATAGGCAGGCAACCTGTGTAGGGGAGTGGCTATATAGCTGTAGTTCTTCCATGTAGTAGATGTTACAGGTGTTTGGCATTAAGGAATGAAACCAGGAAAATAATGGAAGGAAGTGCCACGTTATTCTCAGAAGTATTAAATGTGAAATAAAATAAAGGATAATCAGTATAAAGAATTATGTTTGAAATTTTTTGCCTTTCCTTTAGGAATTCCAAAATAGGAAAGCAGGATGCTGTAAATCGACCAAAAACAACAGATAATGCACACAGAAACCCTGAAAGACTATCAAGCCTGAGATCAGGTGGTGGAACTCAACCTGCTAAGAGACCAGGAAGGCAAAGCCTTGGAGGAGCTGCTCAGCAGCCCAGAATTATAACAGCTCAACCAAGAGCAAAAAAACGGTTAAGTCTGCCAGCGAATGCGCAGCCTAGAATAAGAGGGTCTGGCACTACAACTGACACAGTGCAGAGGCCAAAGACAGCTTCTGAAGTGAAGAGGAGTTCCAGATTGGCTGCCAACTTTTCTAAATAACTTGAATCTATAGTCTGAATGTGTACATACACCTTGAGATTTTGCACAAGGAGAATTGTAGTTGTGTACTTAATACTCAGATAAACAAACTCGAACAACACAGATAATATAATATAAATTATTTAAATAAAATATATTCTGTATTTTAAAAAAATGCTGGAAGCTACAAATATTTATTATTGCTATAAAGTTTTCCTTCTTTCAACTGGCTTGCTTAAACCTTGTCCCAGCTGGGGAACTTAAAGTTGAATGTTACTGGTATGTTAAATGCTGAAACAAGTTTTAACTGGTAAAGCTGTGTTCACATTAAAGCTGAAACATCCTCAGAGTAAACATGTTTCACCTAAACATGTTTGTTATTGCATTGTTCACATCAGATGTCAGTTTCAAACACATTTCATGCCTGGTAGTATAATTAATGCTGTTTCATCGTACAGGCATTTGTCATTAAGTTTTGCAGCAATGTTCTCCC